AATACCAATTTTGAACCAATTTTTTCCCACCCATCTGGACTTGATCAGATCGTGTTCACACATCATCCATGCAGCAGCCACCAGCTGGCTTAATCGTCGGCGTGGCATTAAATTGGAACGCAATTACACAATGAACTTTATTTAATTTTAGTCATACAGTATAAAATATATCCTACCTGAATGTTACTTGAAAAATTACCCGACCCGACTTAACTTCGGAAATAACGGAGCTCCGGAAATAACGACCAGGGAACAGCCCCATATAGGCCGTTAAATTGAGTGGATACTGTACGTTAATCACAGACAAAGCGATCTTTTCAAGACTACCTTACAAATTGAGCTTTTCCTATAATCGTTTCAATACTACCTTATGCTTTACAAGCTTGGCTACATACCACCTACAAGTACTAAAGCCAAGGGTGCACGCGAGTGCATTATTTGCAAGCACACAGAACGATGAAACAGGAAACAAAAATCTATCTGTAGCTGGTGCAAGGAGAGCAAAGTCGCGCTGTGTACCATGGACTACTTCGTTGACTATTACGCACCTCCAAAGTACTTAGTGTGTAATACAGTGTGTTACTGTGTAAATAGTATGTGAAACTGTACATATTGTAATATTAGTGCATTTTTACCACGTAATATTGTGACAATAAACATTTATTGTGGACACATTACTGACACATGTATCACAGTTTCATGGAAAATTATGAACATTCTACTGTATACATATTGTAAAGGTCACAAATATGCATCATATACGATAAAAGAAACAAATAAAACCGCATTGGAAATGCATAGGAAAAATATTTGAAAATATATTTGTGGCAACACGCGGTGCTTGAATGGCCTGCGCGACCGTGTCTGGGAGCTTCACACACGGGCGACCAGCCCCTGATGACGTCACAGCGCACCTTGTCCACGCCCTCACAGCCAAAGTAAGTGGAATTTGGTAATTATTTTTACATAGACATGTTCAGGGACGGTAATTTATCATTTTACAAAGAAAAATTATATTTTGGGGAACATTTGATGTCATGCACACTAGGGAAATTTCACAATAAACACAGTGCATCACACTGGTTACATGGGGGACACTCGTTTTGTATGACGTCCGTTTCACATGACGAACATGGAACGGATTAAATTCGTTATGGGAGGTACCACTGTACTTATTTTGTCCAGGTCATCTTGAAAGGCATGACAATCATCTAAGTTTCTTATCCTTCCTATTATCTTAGCATCATCAGCCAACATGTTCATATAATTCTGTATACCAACTGGTAGATCATTTATGTAGACAATAAACATCACTGGTGCAAGAACTGAGCCCTGTGGTACTCCACTTGTGACATTTCTCCAGTCCGATACATTACCTCTGATTACTGCCCTCTTTTTTCTATCAGTCAGAAAATTTTTCATCCATGTTAAAAGCTTACCTGTCACCCCTCCAATATTTTCCAGTTTCCAGAACAACCTCTTATGTGGAACTCTGTCTAAAGCCTTTTTTAGGTCCAGATAGATGCAGTCAACCCAACCATCTCTTTCCTGTAATATCTCTGTGGCTCGATCATAGAAACTGAGTAAATTCAATACACAGGATCTTCCAGATCGAAAACCATACTGTCTGTCTGATATTATATAATTTCTCTCCAGGTGTTCTACCCATTTAATTTTGATTAGTTTTTCCAATACTTTCACTATTACATTTGTCAATGATACAGGTCTATAATTGAGGGGGCCTTCCCTGCTGCCACTTTTGTAGATTGGAACTATGTTAGCCTGTTTCCACACATCTGCTACGATTCCTGTACACAGGGATGCCTGAAAGATCAGGTGTAGTGGAATGCTGAGCTCAGATGCACATTCTCTCAGAACCCATGGTGAAACTCCATCTGGGCCAGCTGCTTTGTTCTTACTGAGCTCCTTTAGTATATTTTCTACTTCATCTCTAGACACCTCTATCCGCTCTATGTTGTTCCCTGGAATTCTTATTGTGTCTGGTTCTCTGAAGATTTCATTTTGCACAAACACACTTTGGAACTTTTCATTTAATGTTTCACACATTTCCTTTTCATTTTCCGTGAATCTGTTTCCCATTTTCAACCTCTGGATATTATCCTTTACCTGCAATTTGTTGTTTATGAATTTGTAGAATAGGCCCGGTTCTGTTTTACATTTATCCGCTATCCCTTTTTCAAAATTTCTTTCTGCCTCTCTCCTTACTGCCGTATAGTTGTTTCTCGCATCTTTGTATTGCTGGTATGTTTTGGGCTTGGCCTCCTCCTATACTGATTCCATTTTTGTGCCTTTTGGTCTCTGGCCCTCTCACAATTTCTGTTGAACCAATCCTGTTTTCTGGCCCTGCATCTCTGTTTTGGTATGAATGTTTGTGTGCCTTCCTCGTATATTTTTAAAAATTTGGCATACATTTCATTTACTTCTCTGCTTAGGAACAAGTCTGTCCAATTACACTCATTAAAAATTTTTTGAAGTTTAGTGACCTCTCCTTAAATCGAGTTTATCAACTCGTGCAGGCTCTGCCGGCAACGATTGCTCTGCAAGATATGCTGCACCCGCCGATGCTGAATTCCCATCGACAAGTCATGGAGCATCCGCCAGCAACGAATGCTCTGCAAGCCATGTTGCATCCGCTGATGCTGAATTCCCATCAAAAGTCGTGTAGCCTCCACTAACGATATAAAATATGATTGAAAGACATATAAATTAGTGTAAAAAGTGTTGATAGAGTACAGTAAGTGTTAATGATTATTTAAGCCTTGACAAAAAGATACTGTACAGTGTAAATATACAGTAGAAATAATTTTCAATTGTGAATTAGAATTAGAATTAGAACTCATGTGAATTAGTAGTAAAGCTAGCTGTTGTGTGAAGTGAATGCCTGAAAATAAGTGTACATACTGTATGTACCCTGTATACAGTACTGAACAATATAAAACAAGCGCTGCAGAGGATGACGTAATCTTCACAGCTTCGTAATCTTCGGCTTCATTAAAAGTAAGTCAATTTACCAATTTTATTATAGTATTTCAACATATTAATTGTTTTTTTCAACAAAAGCTACATATTAATCTCTGCAAATGTATATTCTATTATTAGCAGAGAAAAGGCGAGCTCATAATATTTCATCTTGGCTAGCTCTCAGTGACAAGGCTCGATCACCATTGTTATGGCCTGACCGCCACAGCCTGTGTCATAACATTAAAAATACATTACCTGCACTGTTCAGGGTAAAACAAAACGCATCGCTAAAATTTTATTGAGAAAATATTAACAATCACCGATTGATACATGAAATATTTTGCAATACCAATTTTGAACTAATTTTTTCCCACCCATCTGGACTTGATCAGATCGTGTTCACACATCATCCATGCAGCAGCCACCAGCTGGCTTAATCGTCGGCGTGGCATTAAATTGGAACGCAATTACACAATGAACTTTATTTAATTTTAGTTATACAGTATAAAATATATCCTACCTGAATGTTACTTGAAAAATTACCTGACCCGACTTAACTTCGGAAATAACGGAGCTCCGGAAATAACGACCAGGGAACAGCCCCATATAGGCCGTTAAATTGAGTGGATACTGTACGTTAATCACAGACAAAGCTAAGGGCACTGGGTGCATACTGTACAAACGCAGACTAGGTCTATACGTACACCCTACAGTAGGTTGGTGTTTAAGCCAGATCTAGTAACATAAACTTCTCTCAAATTATCGATTTACATCAAATTATATAATTTTGGGTTATATATATTTAGTTTAGCAACATTATTACGATAATAAGAGCTATAAAAAATACTTATTTTAGAACTTATTAAATTATTTTATTATTTCGAAGCCATAGGTCACTGAACTTTGGCGACAAAATCGAACAAAACACGCATGGTGTTGTGTGCACACGTATTAGACCCGTCTACTCACACTGGAGTTGTGCCACCAATAACATGAATAATTTCTCAAATAGCAAATATCTATCATATTTACTGTATATTTTTGGTTTTATTTAGTTTAGTTCAATTAGGATAATAAAGAGTTATTAAAACACCAGTTTTAGAAATGATCTATTAATCTGAAAAGTTCAAAGTCATGGGTCACTGAACTATGACGACACAGACGAAAGTGAGTGAAACCTCACTGTAAAGTGAGGTTTACAGTACAGTATTCCCTTATCTGTCCACCCTCACTCATCTTGTTTCATCACAGAAAATGTGTATAAGAAGATTTCAACACATTAGCTAGCTATTCACGCTTCAGTCTTTAAATTAATTTACAAAGATACGTGTACCACAAATCAGTGAACAAAAATCATTTAAACTCAGTCGTTCACTTGTGTGGACCACTCTGGCTGGTGTTTGGTTAATATGCTTTACTCGTTGTGTGGACCATTCTGGCTTGTGTTTGGTTCATATGGTTCACTTGTTGTGTGGTCCACTTGTGTGATCCAACTTGTCTTATGAAGTAATGATTAATTGTAATCTGTGATAGAATGAGACAGTTTTACACCACTCTGTGAACTCTGTCCCAACATCGTAAGCTTGTGGACCACTTGTGGACCACTTGTGTGGTCCACTTGTGTGATCCAACTTGTCGTATGAAGGAATTATTAATTGTAACCTATGATGGAATGGTTAAGTTTTCCACCACTCTGTGAACTCTGTCCCAACATCGTAAGCTTGTGGACCACTTGTGGACCACTTGTGCAGTCCACTTGTGTGGTCCACTTGTGTGATCGAACTTGTCAGATGAGCAAATTATTAACTGTAATCTGTGATAGAATGGGAAACTTTTCCACCAGTCTGTGAACTCTGTCTCGATATCGTGAGCAAATCCGAACATCCCTCACTTCAGTGAACCATTGTTCGTCAAAACGGGTGAGTAAATCCGGCCTGAAAAGTGTGCGAACTAGCTGGAGATTCGTTGAATCGGGACACGTTGAATAGAGGTTGTACTGTACTGATAGCTGGCCTTACCTGATGTGTTCGGTGTCTGAGCCACGAGTCTTCATAGTGTGGGTGATTAGTTATATGTCGGCCTGTGCATAACTTCACTCCTGCTAGTAACTGCATGGAGCCTGCAAATACTGCCTCAGGAGGTGTGTAAGACTGGATCCACTCCATCAGCTCCACAGTGTCAGGATCCCAAAATTCATACATCTCTTCTGGCCACAGTTCTGATGACATCTTGCCCCAAAACTGAAAGAATACCATACAATATATAAAGTTATATAAATGCCAATTAAATTTTAATGACTAGTGTATAAAGTTTAGTTTTTGTTGTCATTAATGCAAATGTTTCTCTTAGCTAAAATACCAGTTTGTTTTATTTGTGTTAATTTTTATATTTCATTTGTGTTCGATAATATGTATTAGTAAGTGAGTATGATTCTGCGTGTAAAGTTTTCCAGTGAGTTTTCTTGAGAGGAGCATCCCTGGATTCCACGAGAGAGGGGCGAGATTCTTCACACACAGGTTGTGTGGTGTGTGCTCGTGAGGTACTCACCTCGCTGTGTGAGGTTATTGACCTCCGTTTATATCCAAGTGACTGGAACTGTAATCGTTAATCAGGTGAGTGAGAGATTTGTCCTTGTTAGTGTGTTATCCCTTTTCCTGTGTCTAAATAAATGAAATGCATGCACTTTGATTGTTTCTTGAATCCTGCCAATGCAAAAATATAAAAAATATGGTACTGGTTCCACCTGGTCATTCTTGTGTTTGAAGTATTTATTAATGCATATTGACTCTACATCCCTAGTTTAAAGTAACATACCTACACTGTATATAAGAAAGTAAGGACGGGTTTCGTGAGTTTGTTCTCTAGGGTACTGCTTACAAGCTTGTGCCCTTACAAGGGAACAGAGTCATATGGACCATGAAACGAGGATAATTAGGCCAACCCAGCTCACTGGAGGCTCAGAAAGCTGACCTCAGCATGCCTTAGTAAGATTGTGCAATCCACAGTGCCAGCAAAATTGCCTCCTGCTACCAGGGAAACTCAAACGGCGAAAACAAATGTAGTTGCCTCAGCAACAGCCAAAAAACCAGCGTTGAATGTAGCAAAATGTCATTTTCTGGGCGAGCCCCAGAGGCTCCCAGGAGCTTATCAGGCTAATGTATGTTATATTAGACTGGGACATTAGCTAAGGAGTTCAGACCTACCAGAGACTAGCGCCAGAACCTGGCCCCTTCAGAGAGGTTTCAGGGAGCAATGGCCCTGGAAAACCCCCTTATGGTTGGGGCTTTCCTTATCTGCCATCGACCGGGGTTAGGCACCCAGAAAGGTAGGCATAACAAAACAAACCTTACATGGTAAAAAACTAAAACAGAAAACCGAACAGAGGTAGAAACTCCCTACAATCCCAAGGAAACAAGCAAACAAGCAAACATCACACTTTACTGCCGCGCCGATCATTCGCGCAGTCCTCCCCGCCCCAAGAAGGGGAGGGGTAACCCCGGACCTCAACACGCAGGCTGCCTAGCATCAGTTTGAAAGCTAAGCTTCAACCAATGTGAAAAAATTGCCGACCGGTGGGAGGGAGGGTTGCCAGGGAGCCTCCTGGGCTAACCCAGAAAATGGCGTTTCATTACATTCAACGCTGGTTTTCTGTGGGGAGCCCCTATGGCTCCCTGGAGCTTCATACCCAAAGAGAAGGAAAAGAAAGGGCTGGCCCGGGAGGCGGCCGCCATAAACTCCGCAACACGAAGCCGAGACAACAGGCTGTAACCTGTGACCCAAGGCAACAAGAACGCACAGGAGCAGACGCGCATAAAGAATGGGTAGCCACGAACCTGTGCGACCCTCAAATCCCTGCGCCCGAAATGAGCCCTAGACGTCACCAACACAGCAGCAAAAGCTGCAAATGTCCGAATAGCACGGGCGCAAGGACAGACCGCAGGCTGGAACACTTAAAAACTCTGCGGACGACCTGGGAGACCCGAACCCTGAAACAGGGAATGAGGGGAACCGGATCAACCCAAAGCGCATCCCCAGACATGGTACGCAGGTAACGACAAAAAAAGCGCAACCGGACAATACAGGACGCACCCCTGGCTGAACCAATCAAGCATCAATAACCCAAGAACCCCTCCAGAAAGCACCCGTCTCGACTGTTGCCAGAAGGACAGAGAAAGGCTGCAAATGTACAAACCTACCACCAATACCAAAGAGCAGAAACCTGAACCGAAGGTGCTACCACAAACTGAGGAGAAGATAAGAAGGCACCCTGATCAAGGACCAGGACGGCTCAGGCGACGCATGAGCAAGCTGGAGGTGAAACAAAACACGAGAAAGCGTACGAAACAGGGCAGATGTGACGTCCACCCCGAACACAAGCCGGAGCGGCTTCGCCTGCGCCGCACAAAACGAGGCGACAGTAAGAAACATCAAAACTGTAGTCCTGAAAACCCAAGAAAGGACAAGACAACCCGATGCGAAAGAGAAGACAACCTACAAAGAACAAGAAAAAGTGCATAAAAACACCAGAAACGTCATACTGTCACCGAGACGAAGCTCGCAGGTGGGACACCATCAACAAAGCCACCTGAACACCACAGAGATGGTGATACCCGCATCAAAAAAAGAGTCAAGGAGAAGGCCGAACCAGTCACGCACAGGACCGGTCCGACCTGCCGAAAGAGGCGGAGCCGCGGGAAAGCGCCCATGTCTTCATAGAGCAGACGGGAACCCCAGAAGGATGGGGCGGATCGACCACGCCCAATGCACCCACGAAGATGACATGACGAAGCGCAGGGGAAGAAACCCACCCCGCCAGCCCCGAACCCCCCAAAGGGGGAGAAGCTGTCCACCGCCGCCACCAGAGGCCGGAAGACAACCAAAAGCGCCCACTAACTGCAGGACCATGCGAGAGTCAGCAGAGCAAGCTGCTCCCCCAGCACCCAGTCAACAGAGAAGGGAACAGAGCCCCTTCCAAAAGAAAAAGTATATATACACATATATACATATATATTATATATATACACATACACACACATATACATATACACATACACACAAGGTATGTTACACACATGTGCATATGCACATACACATGTGCACACACACATGCTAGATTTGATATTTACCAGGAAGGAGGAAGAGATATTTGACATTCAGTACCTTCCTCCCTTGGGTAAAAGTGACCATGTCTTTTTGGGAATAAAGTATGCAATGCGTTATAAGCTGGAAGAAAATAAGGAGGTTGAAGCAGTTGAAAAACCAGACTTCAGGAGAGGACATTATGGTGACCTTAGAAATTTTTTTAGTGAGTATAATTGGACAGACTTGATGCTAGGCAAGGAAGTGAATGAGATGTATGGCAAGTTTTGTGAAATATATGATAAAGGCACAAAAAAATTTATACCAAAACAGAGATGCAGAACTAGGAAACAGGATTGGTTCAATAGAAATTGCGAGAGGGCTAGAGACCGAAAGACACAAAAATGGAATCAATACAGGAAGAGGCCGAACCCCCAAACATACCAGCGATACAAAGATGCGAGAAACAACTACACGGCAGTGAGGAGAGAGGCAGAAAGAAATTTTGAAAAAGGGATTGCGGACAAATGTAAAACAGAACCAGGTCTATTCTATAAATTCATAAACAACAAATTGCAGGTAAAGGATAATATTCAGAGGTTGAAAATGGGAAATAGATTCACGGAAGATGAAAAGGAAATGTGTGAAACACTAAACGAAAAGTTCCAAAGTGTGTTTGTACAAAATGAAATCTTTAGGGAACCAGATACAATAAGAATTCCAGAGAACAACATAGAACACATAGAGGTGTCTAGAGACGAAGTGGAAAAAATGCTCAAGGAGCTCGGTAAGAACAAAGCAGCTGGCCCAGATGGCGTTTCACCATGGGTTCTGAGAGAATGTGCATCTGAGCTCAGCATTCCACTTCACCTGATCTTTCAGGCATCCCTGTGTACAGGAATCGTAGCAGACGGGTGGAAACAGGCTAACATAGTTCCAATCTACAAAAGTGGCAGCAGGGAAGACCCCCTCAATTATAGACCTGTATCATTGACAAGTGTAATAGTGAAAGTATTGGAAAAACTAATCAAAACTAAATGGGTAGAACACCTAGAGAGAAATGATATAATATCAGACAGACAGTATGGTTTTCGATCTGGAAGATCCTGTGTATCGAATTTACTCAGTTTCTATGATCGAGCCACAGAGATATTACAGGAAAGAGATGGTTGGGTTGACTGCATCTATCTGGACCTAAAAAAGGCTTTCGACAGAGTTCCACATAAGAGGTTGTTCTGGAAACTGGAAAATATTGGAGGGGTGACAGGTAAGCTTCTATCATGGATGAAAAATTTTCTGACTGATAGAAAAATGAGGGCAGTAATCAGAGGCAATGTATCAGAATGGAGAAATGTCACAAGTGGAGTACCACAGGGTTCAGTTCTTGCACCAGTGATGTTTATTGTGTACATAAATGATCTACCAGTTGGTATACAGAATTATATGAACATGTTTGCTGATGATGCTAAGATAATAGGAAGGATAAGAAATTTAGATGACTGTCATGCCCTTCAAGAAGACCTGGACAAAATAAGTATATGGAGCACCACTTGGCAAATGGAATTTAATGTTAATAAATGTCATGTTATGGAATGTGGAATAGGAGAACATAGACCCCACACAACCTATATATTATGTGAGAAATCTTTAAAGAATTCTGATAAAGAAAGAGATCTAGGAGTGGTTCTAGATAGAAAACTATCACCTGAGGACCACATAAAGAATATTGTGCAAGGAGCCTATGCTATGCTTTCTAACTTCAGAATTGCATTTAAATACATGGATGGCGATATACTAAAGAAATTGTTCATGACTTTTGTTAGGCCAAAGCTAGAATATGCAGCTGTTGTGTGGTGCCCATATCTTAAGAAGCACATCAACAAACTGGAAAAGGTGCAAAGACATGCTACTAAGTGGCTCCCAGAACTGAAGGGCAAGAGCTACGAGGAGAGGTTAGAAGCATTAAATATGCCAAAACTAGAAGACAGAAGAAAAAGAGGTGATATGATCACTACATACAAAATAGTTACAGGAATTGATAAAATCGACAGGGAAGACTTCCTGAGACCTGGAATTTCAAGAACAAGAGGTCATAGATTTAAACTAGCTAAACACAGATGCCGAAGAAATATAAGAAAATTCACCTTCGCAAATAGAGTGG